GCTCAGCAATAAGTGGGCACTGTGGCTCGACATAGTCAGATCCCCAGACAGATTATTCTGTTATCAGATGAAGTAACCCATTTTTATCAACAATTAGGTAGATCCACATTTATGGGCATTTTGCAAAATTGGGAGGTGGGAAGAAATCCAACTTAAGCCGTTAGTCATTAAAAAAACTTTTAACCCCGCTTTCCGTAGTAAGACCCAGAGCACAAATTTTAGAAATTGCTGGATTATTCAGAACGGTTTTGATGAAATATTCTGTGTGTACAGAATAAGTTGCTATGTATTCATATTTTCCACAAAGCAAAGTGCCTAAAAACTGTAATTTGTAATTTAAAAAATCCACAGAAAACTGAGAATTATGGTATTTTAATGTGTTAGGAATAACTTTGTGAGGTAGTCTAAATATATCTTTTGGTATTAGAATTAACTTCATAAACATAAGAAAAAATTCCACCCGGTGACCTGAAAAAGTAGTTAAATGACTACTTAAAGACAGAACTTTTCACTTAGAGAGTAGGTAACATGTTTGTTACAATACTGTGAAATTGTGCCTTACCTAATGGCTAATGACTTTAAAACCCTTTTCCTTTTTGTTAGTTAAATATTCCTGTTCCTGTGGGTTTTAAAAAATGTTTTAAATTGAAATAGTATTATTTTGCTTTCCCCTCTCCTCCCTACAGGTCCTCCTAGAAACACTCCCTTTAATTCGCCCATGACCTCTCACTGCTCCCAAGTTGCTAGCCTATTTTTCTCTCATTGTTATTGTCACATCTGTAGGGGATATCTAAGTACAACCTGCTGAGTCTGTTTTTATTGCTGGTGTTTATATGATTTGGGGGTTGCCCACTCTGAATTGGACAATGAAGAAGGGGGCTTATCACTAATAGCCAGGACATGAAAATAACCTAAATATCATGCAGTAGATAAATAGATAATAAAACTGTGGTTCATGAACACTATTTACAGGAATACTATTCACCTGTAAAGAAAAATGAAATAAAAATTTTTTCAGGTAATGAGACTCCTAGAAGCAGGGGTCATGGAGACTGAAGAGGACACCCTCTTAACTAGACTTGACTCCTAGAGGAGTGAGGGGAACACCAACTCACCCACAAAAACTTCATCCCCAAATTTACCCTGCCTCAACCCTGTTGAGGGAATGTCCTACCAATGTCTGGCACAACCTGAGACTCATCCCATGGGAGACAGCCAACCCCTGACACAATTAACGATACTCTGCTATGCTTGCAGATGGGAGTCTAGCATAGCTGTCCACCCAGCAGCAGATTGAAACAAATGCAGAGACTCACAGCCAAGTATTGGGCAAAGTGTAGGGAGTCTTGTGGAAAAGTGGGGGAAAAGATAGAAGAACAGGAAGTGCCAGGAGCTCTACAAGAAGACCAACAGAGCCAACTAACCAGGGCCCAGAGGGGCTTGAGGAGATGGAAGCATCAGCCAAAGACCATGCATAGCCTGGACCTAGACCCCATACACAGATGTAGCATACGGGCATGTCAGGCTTCGTGTGGGTGCCCTAATAGGGGAGTAAGGGTGATCTCCGACAGTGACTCTGTTGCCTACTTTCTGATCACTTTCCCACCCCCCATGGGGCTGCTTCACCAGGCCACAGGGGAAGAGGATGTGCTCAGTCTTGATGTGACTTAATGAGCTGAGGTGGGTTGTTAGGGGAGCCTCCTCTTATCTGAGGAATAGGGGATGGGAGTTGGGGGAAGGGTGGAAAGGGGAGCAGAGAAGGAAGGAGGCTACAATCGGCATATAAAGTGAATAAATAAATAAATCATTTAAAAATTTTCAGGTAAATGGATGGACCTAGAAAAGGTTATATTGAGTATTATTCACATTACTAAGTAAGTATATTGAGTAAAGTAACCCAGACCCAGAAAGATATTGTGGCATGTTCTCTCTCATCTGGGATTCCTAGCTCCAAATACTCAGATGTGAAAACATGGCTTGCAGTAGCCACAGAGACCATAGGTGTAGGAGTGTGGGGTGTGGAGTCGGGTGTGGGATGGGTGCTGGGGCTTGGTAGGGGAATAGGTGATATATAGTGAAAAATAGAAAGATGGGGGACCTCTAGTTGGAGAGCAGGAAGGTCAGAACAGAAGGAGGGGATGAAGGACAAATAATACCAAGGTTGTTTGAAAAGCCACAAAGAATCATTTGATACATAAAATTATACAGAATGTCTCTCTCTCTCTCTCTCTCTCTCTCTCTCTGTGTGTGTGTGTGTGTGTGCGCATGTGATAAAGGAAGTTAAAACATTCAGGCTGCAATGTTTCCCACAAGAACCATAGGTCAAAAAAAAATCTCAGTACAGGGCACAAAAAAAAAATTTCTCCTTTGAATGGTGATCAGGGTAGTCCAAGTGACTCCCCAAACATATAGATTATTAATATAGTCATTGGTTGCCTCTCAGAGGTTGAGGCTGGCCCCTATTGCTGAAGATTCCACACACTTAGGATACAGCTGGAGTTGACCTGAAAATCTTTCCTGTGGTCTAGCTTCCATCGTTCCAGAAAAAACTACACAATCTGCCAAGAAGGGGAAGCCATTAAACAGTCCTACCCATAGGCAACACCTATAAACCACGACTATGACCAGCCCAGAGAGATACCCAGGAAGGTGCGATGTGTGGCGCCCACATGGCGGTGGTGACCTACACCCATCTGATTGGACTTAGCGCCCATTCGGCAGGAGGAAAGTCAGCCAATGCTGGAGGCCTAGCCAACCTCCCAGGTCTAGTGGGCTCCTGGGTATCAGAAAAGATTCGACTATCAGCATATGTTAGACCAGCACGATTCCTTCCTACCTTCTAACCTGCCCTTGCACCCGCAGGTCAGTGTGGCTTTCTTCCCCTCACCAAGCAGGCCTCTCTTACAGCAACTGGCGAGCACCACAGACAGGCACAACCGAACACGGTGCAGAGATTAGCACTGTGGTCAGCCCAGGCCCAGTGCACACACCCACAGCTCCTGCGGCTATAGCAGAAGATGCAGCGAAAAGGTTATAAGAACGCCAGAACGTCCGCTGCGACGTGGCTCTCCTAGAAACGGCTGCACAGACAAGGCTGGAACAATGGCAGTATCAGCAGACGGGGGAAAGTTTCATGGGGTTCTACCCCTAGACACAGAACCATAGGCGACTAGTCTAAATATTTTAAAAGAAAATTAAACAGGATTTCATTTTCATATTCACAGTATATTTCTAATATTCCCCAATATATGTCTTAAATATATTTTATTCTAGAACTTCTTCGTTTCAGTTTTAGGCATGGTTGCTGAGGTTCCAATGATGGACCATGAGCTGCTTTGGGAAGTAACCACTGCTTCATCTGTTTTTCTTTCAAGTATCATTAAAGTATCTAATACCTACAGGGCTAGAAATAACTCTGAATGTAAAAATTTAAATAACTTCATCAAAGATTTTTTTTATTTCAGAAAAAAACAAATCTTCTAAGTTAACATATTTAAATAACTCAACTAAAAGATGGTGTATCTGAAATAAACTGAAGGTATTTTTCACCAGTACCCATTCAAATACATATACTCTTAATAACTACATCAGTTTATCTCCTTGTCAAAATCCTAACTTAGATACCAGAATATCAAGCAGATGTTGGAGCATTTGTCATGAATATTGGAACTCTGACTCATGACAGTCCCATGAAACAGATGCCCTTCTGACCATCCCCTGAAAGGTGACACCATCACTGCTTGAGTTAGTGTTTGCTGTGTGATAACTTAAAATTTGCCTGCAGAATATTAAATATTAAAAAGCAGAGAGCTTCCTCACTTCATGTAGAAGCCATTTAAAAGCTCCTGTGTCTATGCTGAGAGTAGGACAAAGCACTAGAGAATAGAGTGTGTCCCACTAATGCTTGGTGGCTCTAAGCCTTGAGGGATTCATGGCCTCATTTAGGACTAGGTGGAAAATCAGAGCACCTAGGCTCTCTGCCCATTGGCCACTGTGTATGGTGATGCCAGGCTGCCCATCCCATGGGGTTCTCCTCCTCAGCCCCTAGCAATGTGAAAGGAGTCTGGGGTCTCCTATAACCCTTTCTCAGTAAAAGAATTGCCACACCAGCAGTTCTGAGGCAGCTGGTCCAGAAGGAAAAGGCAAACAGTCCCTCAGCACAGCCTAGTTAGCTAATATTGTCCATGTCTTTAAAGGCCAAGATTCTTATCGCTCTGCTCACATGAGTCTGCAGCTGTTTCTAGAATATACAGTTATGTGTACTCTGTGAAAATAAACAGAAAAGCCCAGGCAGACGGTGCCATGGTGCAAGTGATAGAAGTGAAATGTACTGAAATGGGACCTTTCAAAGAAACAGCCATGGGAACAGGGAGCCTCAATTCAAGGTGGAGAGAAGCGGGACCTCCCCCCCTTCTTTACCTTTGAGTGAGGAAATTAAGTTAGTAGCAACTCCAACAACAGAGAAGCTTGAGAAAGCAAGGGGGGACATTTAAGGAGTGGGTGGATAGCACAAGTTCAAATTCCAAATGAGCGACCCGCCCCTCCACTGACTTCTACGGCTCGCACACCCCTGCTTGGGTTTAAAAGCCAGCTCTGTGCTTAACACCTGTGTGACCTCCGGTTCTCAAACTTGGCTGCATACTGGAACCACACTGGGAGCTTTAAAAAAATATTGATGCCTGGAATTCATCCTCAGGGAGTGTTATTTAATTGTGCAAGGGTGTGGCTTGGACACTGAGCAGCTTTAAAGGGCTCCTAAGTGACTATAAATAGAGCAGCTGAGGTTGGGAGCCACTGATGAATTTTCTGAGGCATCACTTCCTTGTTTGTAAAAAAAAAGTATGACATTGAGAGCAAGCACCTTTCAGGATTATTGCAACGATGAAATACGCTACTGCAGACACAGCACTTAGCACCATAGCCTGTGTGAGAAGCTATTGCATCCTCGCCAGGAGGTGCCCTTGGGCAAGAACTTTCTTGTCAATACAAGCCATGCTCACCTTGGCACACATTATGCTCACTCTGTTCATAGCCTGCTGCACACTGGATCCTGTGGGAAGGGTTGGAAGGGATGCGCTGAGGGTCTGCTGGGTTCCTCCGGATGACAAAGTTATTTCGGCCAGTCTGAACTTCAGGGCCAGCAACTGCAGTAGCACTGGCTACGAAGCCGCCACCAGGGACCACCCCACTGGCTGCCATGCTCCTGGCTGCTATGCTTCCGGTGGTGGCACCCGACGATGCTTCCGCAGCTGGTGTTTCTTGCTGAGGTTGTTCATTATTGACAATAATTTGGGCTGTTTTAGGAAGGCAGAGGTATCCTCCATAGTGGTTGACACATTTCATTCCACCTTTGCAAGCGTCTGGGACAATGTCACATTCATCAATATCTGTGGTCAGTAATAAAATAAGTGAGTAGTCTTCTCAGAAAGTAGAGTGTGGTAGAGCACACGTGCGATAGGAAGAGGGACACATGAGGTGGAGACAGATGGCTGTTCTTGCACAGGAAGTCTTACAAGCAAGCTTACCTTTGCACTGCTGTCTTACAGGGTCCCATTCATATCCATCCGTGCATTGCTGAAAAGAAAACATCAGACATGGAGCCGGGTGACAAGGAGTGGCTTCCTTAAGAGACTACAGTAAGAGCTTTATTTTGGTGGTTGGGATCCTAGGGAAACGAGATGGGTGGTCAGTTCCATTCCCTCCCCTTTATGGCAAGTCTGGCTGAGGGGCAGCACTGAGCTCTTTTCTCTTTTTGCTCAGCTGGCCCTAGTCCTCAGTCTGCTTGGGACAGTTGTCCATCACCATCTTATTGGAGTTCTTTTCTCTCTCTTTTGAGACTGGTCTCCCCAATATTTCTGATTGATCTTCTTTATTTCCCACTTTTGTATTGTAAATTTTACGTTAAACAAGGACCAACTGGGTTCTATTTTCTCCCATCCCAAGTTCTTGTGTCTGCGTCTTCCTGAGTGTCTGAGTATTGGAACCCAGCCCACTGCTGCTCAGGGCCAGCCCACCTGTAGCTGTTCCTGTCTCATCCTCAGGCTAAGGGAGCCCAAGCTGTCAGGACTTTTTAAGACACACCCAACATGACGGACACAAATTAACTAAATGCCCTCCATATTCTCTAGGTTACACATTCTTTTCCCAACGTGCAATGCAATGCTCCTTCCTCCTGCACTGCTTGTGGGAGTCAGAGACAGCTGGAGTGCACTATGGACTACTTGCCAACCGCTTGGCCTGGAAACTTTGTCCCTCCTCTGAAACATATCCTGAAGGGACCCCTCACTCTATCACGTGGGCCTGAGTTCTCCTGAGAGCCCCCACCATGCTGTCTCTGGAATAGGGACCTAAAATTTTAGAGCCTCGGCCATGCTGTGTGTCTGTTTGATAATGTCTCTCTATCAATTAGCTCAGTATCTATCCTTAAATCTCCAAGCTGGAACATTCATAACTGTGACTCAGAAGGCAGTACCATTGAAACAGCTTGTCCTGTAAGGACTCCTCTACCCTTGACACTGATTTCTTCATCCTAACACTCTCTATTCTCTGGTGAGGGTTTCGGGTTTTCCAGGAGCTCTGTCCATTTGTCTGTCTGCTGACTTTTTTCTGAAACCCTGGTTCTGGGTCATATGTTCCTTGAGCTTGGACTGTACTCCATTGCTCTAAACCAGCTTAGTTTAACAAAACTTATTGTCCACTTTTTTTTTTTTTTTTTTTTTTACCCTTTATGACATCTACCTGTTGCACCCACAAGCAAGTTGAAAGATTACTAGGATGCTGGAGAAGAGGCTTTACTTTAAAAATCTTCACTTCAGAATTCTTCCAGACTCGGGTAACTTCATGCAGTGCAGTGGTAAGCAGTTAGAAGTTTCTATTAGAGATTACTCTCTGACCAGCATCCAGTTCCTTCCAAAATTGTTCTACTAAAAGTCCACTCCCCATAGCCTCTTGCTCTGCTGGCTGCAAACTTTTCTCTGCAGGACAGAACAAATCTGCCTCCTCCGTAGCCAGACTCCCTGCTCTGAACATGAGCGAACAGTGCCTGCTCTTCCTAAACGGTGTCACCAGATTCTCTTTCTTCACCCCGTACTCCACTCTGCCACTCCAGGCAGCTCGCTGCTGCCCTCCCCTCCGCTGTGGGGTTGCTCGGTGCATTCTGCTCCCCACTCCTCTGCACCTGGCCCGGTGTGAACATTCACTGCAAGGCCTTTCCTCTCCATGTGAGAGGCCTGCAGGCTTTCCTTCCAGGGCTGCTCAGGAGTTGGGCACTGTGGGTTGCTTACAACTTGGCAATCTGCGTTCAGTCAGCACTCTCTGAAACTTCGTCTGTACCCTTCTCAGCCACAGCACCTTCCCTTCCCTTCCAGTCTCTGGGGACCAAACACCAGGGACACAAAGGTCTGGATCTTGCCCACACCCCTTCTGCCTTCTGCTGTTACCAACCCCAGGTCTCTTCTTAGATACAAAACCTCACACTGTTTTGACCCTCCCCGTGGTTAAACGTAATCATGATACTTCAGGCCTTGTCGTTTTGTTTATGTGTTGCAGATGTTTCTTGTTTGTGATTAAAATTGTCACATGTATGTAAATTATCTTTATTTGTGCTGTATACCTGATTTTAAGGTATGTGTATATATATGTGTATACACACACACACACACACACACACACACACACACACACACACTTCAAGATACAGAAGTTTCTGCTCAAAGACATACAGGGACATTTTCAAATGACCCTGTGCTTGATTACATCATAAATGGAACTTCTCTTTTGCGGCGTGCTTGCAAAGATCACCATACTGTCTGTGCTTTCAGCTGTTAGATATTCAGGCTACAACATGCATGCTTTCTGTGTCTCTATTTGTTAAGTTTTCATTTAAGAGATAATTGTTTACAAGATTTTATTAAAAGTTAGACAGAAAAGCCATTAAATTTAAAAAGCTATATAAAAGTTACATATATAAAATATATAGTTGGTCATAAAGGTTAAAAAACGTAGCATGTGTATAATGACTGGCCATCTCCCCAGCCTTCACCTTCCTTAAGTATTGATTTTGTCTTAATAATATTTATAAAAGCTAGATTAGGGCTTCATTCAATCAATTTCATTACATGTATGTGTGTGGGATCGTGGGATCGTGTGTGCGGTGGCTCATGTATGGAAGTTGAAGGACAACTTTTGGAACTCAGTTTTCCCTTTTTACCATGTGGGGTCTGGGATTGAACTCAGGTCGTCAGGCATGGTAGCAAGAAGCTTTATCTGCTGAGCAATGTCACTGCCAAAGGATTATATTTTATTGTTTTACTAGATGAGATCCTTAAACACCCATGATTAGATCTCTCCAGATGCTGAATGTGTTTTCTTCCTGAGTGAAGACTTCACTTGCAGGGTACTCACCATCTTAATATTGGGGAAGAGTATGTTGCAAAAGATTATTTGTATTGAGCTATTCCTCTAAGTTACAAACTTATTATAAGACTCATTCTGATAGACAGATAATTAAATCTATTTACAAATTTCACCATAGCTATGACCCTCAGCCCTCTGGATGCATAGTATAAGCAACCACCACCATTAAAATGTGAGTTTTTCAAAGGAACCCTGTGGGGAAGTGTGGGAAGGGAGGACAATCAGATGTTCTCATTAGTCAAAAGAGGACAGCCCCACTCCCCGCCACCCGCTATAGCCTAGAGGAAGGAAGCATGTATTTCTTAATATTATTATATGTAGAATATGGTTAAAGTTTAGCTAGGTACAGTCCTAACACTAAGGCTATGGGTTAAGATTATATTGTATCCTTAATTTAATCATGATTTTGGTATAACTATTTACCTACTCAGACCCCTTACCCTACTTGGACAAAGTTTGCATCTTTTAAGAATCCCAAATGTTTTCACTGTCTTTGAAAAGGATAAAAAAAAACCCCACTAATTTGAAATTGGCCAAAATTTATTTTAAATAGAGTTTCCTCTATTTGTGGGATACCTAGAATTTAATCCAAACTCTGAAAGCTAAACCTTAACTTTTTCTAATTAAAAAGAAGAAGAAAAGTATTAACCGAAGATTTAAAATTACCTTTTCTAGAATACACTAGAACAATTGCTTCCTTCATTTATTATCTTTATTTCAAGATGTACTGTGTTTTTACTATTTTAATATGAGACATGGCACTTCTGTTACATTAGATAGCAGATCACCACTGCTCCCTGGTTTGTCCCTTCACAGCTTTGGTAACCAGTTATTTTCCCCAATGACCTGCCTTCCTGACCATTCTGCCTGAATTTCACTAGATTCTAAGAATGACCTTCCTAATACAGGGAACAATATTTTTGATGTCCCTCAAAAGCTACACTTGTGCCATTACAACTCCAACAAGTAATACTTGTGTTGTCAACAGTGAGTGTGAACAAACCAAAGGCAGAAGTTACGTCCTGGGCTCTCTTAGCTGCTCTAACCCCACCAGTCAGCAGGAGACAGCCAGACTGAAATGGTGCCTGGTATCTCAACCTCCTATATATAGTTATTCCTTTATTTCTTTTTATATGAGTGAAAAATCTGGGAATATTAGAACCCAGACCAACTGCTTCCTCAGTGGTTGTGTCTTCTTGTACTGACAGTTCATTTTGCCTGGTGTTGTTGCAAGCACCAGACTTGACCCTAGTTTTCCTGACATTCTAATGTCTTTTCTGGTCTGTCCCAAGCTCCAGTTCTTCACTGAGCTACCACCAAGCAGTTTCTCATACCAGGCATTTTCAGGCCTGCAGGAAGAACAGGTGGCTAGGGAATGAGTTGTCCCAAGATGTTAGCAATATGGCTGATTCCTTTGCATGGATGGGGAGAGAAGGAAAGTCCTTGAAGAGAAGGTGAGAGTGAACTAGGCCTTGTTGACTGACAACCCTTAGATGGGGCAAATTCTAAGAATGGGAATCATTATGATCAAATTCATAAAACTATTGAAGAGGGAAAGAGTTGCATATAGTTCTGGTTGGGTTGAGAACCGCAAGGCAGACAGGACTGGCTCTAGAAAGCCTTTTCCTTGAGAGTGAGCAACTAGATTTGATGGCAAAGGTTTTACTAGGCCTCTGAATCATATGGGATGCTATTTGGAGGGGACTCTTGAGCTCTCCAGGATCTGACTGTCAGCCTCTACAGGATTCCTGGCATCTAGTTCTTGAGAAGCACTTTAGACAGTGCTCATGCAGCTTGTCTATATATGGCATCCCAGGAAGCATCCTAGAGAAGTCTCTGCAGAAAGCTTAAGCTCAGGAAACAGTTTGATCAGATGACCTCTGAGAAAGCCACAGTGAAGAAGATGCTTTAGACGAATTCATTTATTACAAGTGACAGCTGGTTATGTAAACAGATGCTCGATGACTACCTGGCTGATGAAGGCGCTGAGGGCAGGCCAGCGGTTTTAGTGACGCCTGAAACCTACCAGGGTGAAGATCGAACACATGTCACCCCTTGCATTAATTCGTGTTTGTTTCTCCAGCACTGTTTAAGGTGCCACCATCACCTTTATGCAAGAGCCAGGGGATCAGCTCTCATGTCTCCATTTGCTTTCTTTCCAACTCTGACCCCTCTTCCATTTCTATAGTTACCATATTGACACAAAGCTTCCTAGCCTCAGGAAAAGGCAAACTTCCTTCTGCTCACATTCTGTGAGCTGCAGGCATACTAGTCAGGTTTGCTTCCCACCTACAAGCACATAGCGACCTCAGGCATGCGCAGGTCCCCTGCCCAGTCCACTACACTTGTCTCACCTGATCGTCTTGGTGGCTATGCCAGGACTTCCTCAAACAACCTGAGCTTAGAACCTCCGTGAAGAGCCAGCAGTAAGCTATTCTCTTTTATAATAGCACAAACATGAACCACCTCTGCCCTTTCTATTTCTTTAGTGATTTGTGTAATCTAAGATAATGTTATTTAAAAGCTTTGTAGTTTTCAACAGTATTTTCTCTGATATAGAAGGTTGAATTGTCCCAGTAAACAAATAACCTAAAGGTCTTTTGATAGTAGAAGAGTTGCCTCTGTAGATATCTGTCCACTAGTAGATTAGTGAACCCTGTCTAATATAAAAGGGGAATATAAGACTGTCTGTTTTGTAGCTACCACTCTTCAAACCATGCTAAAATGGCAGCTCATTTGAATAGTTGCATGATGAACAAAGAAGACATAGTTTTTTTATTTATTTTTTATTTTTTTAGATATTAAGCATGTCGAATTAGTGCATTTAATATGGCTCTACTCTTAAGCCTAACCTGGAGTTAGTTTCTTTGCTTGCTGGCTGTACAGCCTTAAGTCAAGAGGATAAGCTTTCTGTTCTTCCATTCCACCATCATCGGGATATTGTCATTCACCTCACACTTGGTTGCAAGGATGCAAAAATATGTTCACACTGAGGTGATTAAGAATAGCCACCCCAACCAGGCATGCCTTTAATACCAGCACTCAGGAAGCAGAGGGAGGCGGAGCTCTGTGAGTTCGACGTCAGCCTAGACTACAAACTGAGTCCAGGGCAGCCAGGGCTACACAGAGAAACCCTGTCTTGAAAAAGCACCCTGGTTCTTTAACCATCAGTTATTGGGCATACACATTTTAAAAGAGAACAGGCCTAATCTATGATCTTTTAGCACAAAAAGTGGACCACATATGAAAGGCCTTCATAGTAACTGGAGGGCTTAACCACAATGAACACTTTCTACTCAAATGATAAGATTTTGGTGATTAGAAAAAGGATAGAGTATGAGATGAGCAATTCTACAAGCAGTAATATCTACTTGGGAGTCTGAGATGGAAAGATTACACATGCAAGGCTGGACTGGGCTATATAGCGTGTTCCAGGACAGAGTCTTAGAAAAAAAAAAGGGGGGTAAACTCTTTTATTAGATGAATACAAAAGTAGGTAATGAGTTTAATCTTAGCTCACTGAGAAGGTAGTAAGTTTAGCCTGAATAACAAAACATTTTCATTTGAAGATGAACACCACATGCTTTCAGTTTTCTTTATTTTAACGTTAAATTAACACAATATTTTCACTAAATGAATTTATTCACAGTTGTTCTGAACAGCAGAAGGGAACATCTGTGGAATGGGTAATATTCTAGGGATAACATGATGCAGAAGTGAGATAATGCTTATTATTAGTAATTGATATTGGCTCACTTCTGAGTTTTATTCTAAGAACATTTGCATTCTTTTGACCAGGGTTACTTAATTTTATAAATTGGAAAGAAGTAGAAAAATGTGTTTTTCATATACTCACCCAGGACACATGTCACAACACGTGCCAATCATGTCACAACACTGACCTAGAGTTAGAAAACAGCACGGAGGCACGAAGGGCCTTGTCACAGCCAGGTGAGTCCTGCTCCTCTCCTCACATCTTTCTTGGGCAGCGGGAGGGGTCAGATGATAGTTTAGACATTTTATCGAGATTATTTACGCTGATGGAACTAACTGATCAAATATGACTCAGAAATGCCAGAGATGCAAATAGAAGCTGCAAGACCAGAATGCCCACGGTGTATTTCAAATCCACTTTATCAAATGCTGCATCCTGGTGACAGATACACCATCTGCAGGGCTCTTATATGAGTAGAGAGCCTCCCTGAACCCAATAAAGAATCGCTTCATGCGGACAAGCACAGATGAGGCATGAGCTTACATGACACATTCTTATTTGACTTGCGTGTTACTCTTATGCACTGATTCCATTTGCATGTACCCAGGTGGCCAGAGTCCTCAAACCTATCAGTTCACTGAGTGTCTTAGAAACATTCAGCTTACACAGATTTGAATTTTAAAAGTACTCAGTTTTGGCCTTGAACAAAAAAATCATTCTATTTTGGTCTTCATCTCATCTGGAGATCAAAATGCACCTTTGAAAGGACCCAGGGCACGCTATTAGGAATCCTAAGTCTGAATCATATTAAAGGGTTGTTTAATTCATTCTGCTTCGCAAGAGTCTGCTTACACTGGCGGAGATGGGTAAAGTCTTGTATCATAGAGAAACATTCAAATTCCATCACCCCTTACCGTGTATGTGATGGTTTCCTCCGTGTCCTGTGATGTGACCAGCGCCAGAGTCAGCACAGTTAGGAAAAGTGTTTGCAGCATCGTGATTCTCTAAAGGAAACAGGACAAAGAGACGTTTAGTGTCCGTTGCCTGGAAAATCTAATCTCCACCGGTGAAGACACAGACCAGAAAGGGAGGGTGGGAGCCAATTTCCAATCTGCTTCCTCACCTCTACCCCGAACACCAAACACAGAAGACAGGAAGAGAACTTTTGCAGAACTCGTCTTTACCTCACTCCGTCCATCCTGTACCAAGGTTGTTCAGCATGTGTTTATACCACACCCAGGCATTAGGCTCCAGAAAAAGGGGAGTCAACAGGGGTGGGAGGGCACAGAATATTATCAATTCCAAAGACCACTACGTGTCTTCCTGCCCCCGTGGAGGTGGAAAAGGCACAGCATCTGTCAGTTCTCTGGAACCTTCGAGTACTCCCGCCCCATGGCTCACCTCTAGCTGGTGAAGCTCCGAGAGCAGCTCAGCAAAATACCTGCGTATCAACCATGTGACCTCAGACTTTGTTTCCCTCAGGGGAGGCGAGTCCAAAATACCCAAACAAAACTGGAAGGAGGCTCTCTTATTTTCTGGTAGAATACCCTACAAAGCTTCTCACTCACTGCAGGGCAACTTCTGTAGTCCCAACTCTTAAAACTCCGATTCCATCCCGGCTCTGGGCGCGCAACTTTGCCAGATCAGAGCTTCGGACAGCAGCTGCTCAAAGGCACTCTTGCTCCTTCTGTTCCCAGGTCTGCATGCGGTTCAGGCTGCCTACCGTCGCTCAGCAGACCGCGCTACCGCAGTTGATACCAGTTGTGGGGTGCCTGGCCTGAAGCCTGCAGGGAAGTGGGCTCCACTTTCCTAGGTGTGATCTACCAGGCGCCTGTCAGCGAGAGTCGCTGAGCGCTTCAGCTTCCCAGCAGCCCAGGTGCCTCTCCAGTCTCGCACATCAGTCACTGACCCTAGGGACGGCGGGCGGTCACCAGCAAAGCTCTCAGGGCTGGCAGTCAGCGCGCAAACCCTGCCCATCCCAACAGATGTCACCCAAGTCCTGGCACAGGCTGACAGATGGCGTTCCCAGCCCCACACCTCCACCTCCCTCTCCGGTGCCTGGCTGCACAGTCGGGGACACTGTGGGATACTTGGGTCACTCCACCACACTCTCTGGTGCAGCCCCCGAGGGTGCAGCGCACACCCAGCGACCGATCCCGGCTTGGGGCTCCTACCTGGGGGCGGGCCGCGTAGCTCTCCTGCCCCGGCAGCGAAGGAGTGCGCAGGGGAGGGCAGCCTGGTGGGTCTGAACTGGCGAGGTCTGGCAGCAGAAGCAGCCACAGGAGGAGGAGAAGGGGAGGAGAAGTAGGGCGAAGTGGGGCGGAGGAGAGAGGGGGAGGCGCAAGCGCCCTGCCCAGGCTGCGAGCCCGCGGGAAAGCGCGCCTCTTGGCGTTGGGGTCTACGGGGGGGGGGGGGGCTGTAGGCCCCTCAGTTCCTTGATTCACAGGCATTTGAGACACAAAATGTCACTCTCGTGGAGCTTTTTAGGCTCTACAAAATTTTTTTTTTTTTTTTTTTTTTTTTTTTTTTTTTTAAAGTCTGAACAAGTGAGTCCTTGGAGAGTAACTTAAGGCAATTCGTAGAGCTTGCCCGTCACTTTTCATTTCAGATTTTTATTTTTGAGAGAGTGGGGGTGTTCTGATTCCTCAAAGGGTAAAAGGTGAGAATGAAATGCGTTCATTTCTGGCCCTATTCTGTGCTAGGTGTTAGGAGTGGGCCAAACGCAACTCATGCCTGTCTGAGTGCGTGCCTGAGGTGCCCCTCTTCCCACGCCTGTGTGTGTGTGTGTGTGTGTGTGTGTGTGTGTGTAGTTGCTCTTTCAATCTTCTCCTTTCTTATATACATTTCTCATTTCTCCTGAATATTGCTCATCCAAAGTTAAGTTAGGCATTTTGCTTGCATCTTTCATAATAGTGGTGGAATTTCAGGAATCTGAAGAGAGAATTCTCCCCCCCCCACACACACTTCATCAAGTCATACCACACAGATTGCAGCTCTCTCTGAGAGCTTCTCCAGCCTAAGTCTAAGTCAGGCACTTCTCTTTGGCTGCAGGTGTGACTTTTAAGAACAAAGTTACCAAATGCACTTTCAGAAGCAATAGAACCTGCTAACTTGGAGGCAGTAAAGACTTTAACTATCCAGGGCCCCCCCGCAGAAGGGGGAGGAGGTGGGACGTTGGTGGAGATTGTGGGACAGCAGCTGTCAGGTGCTTGCCACTCTTGCGTCTTTGGGGCAGGTGGGTTAACTAGACATTACCAGTGTGGTAACGAACCACCGGATCCTGGACAGGATCAGGATCTCCAGAACGTACTGTGTATGAAAGACTCCGAGGAGTGTGGGCCAGCCGTTTACTACTAAGATTCTGGGAAGTCTCCCTGACCCTGCCAGTCACCAATGACCCCAAACTACTTTCCTTTTTCTTTTTTCTTTTTAAAGGTTCTGTACAATAAAAACACCTCTTTTTGTGTTTGCTTGTTTAAACTCTCTTCAGCTCATTCTTTGGAGCAATACGGTAAGAAAGCTCCCAATCGTCTATCTGCAAGCCAGCAATCTTCCCGTACACCCGGTTGCTGCCTGTGTTTAGGTATGTGATGGGCACTTTGGAGCGAATGCATTCCAGCCTCGTCCTCTCCCCGAGCCTGCTCCACCCAGCAGCTCCACCGTAGCAATTGATAGGAATGCCATCTCTCTTTGTGCTCCCATCCAGGCGGCTCCGGTTCTTTGCTTCCCCTTCGAGATATACTCAGAACGGGGCCATTTCTCAGCAGCTTTGCAGCCACCCTGACTTAGAATTTTCCGTCTGGATTATTGCAACAGCCTCCTGATTGATCTCTCTGTGTGCACCTTTGTTCTCCCGCAGCTGTTGCTGTCAGAAGTTCCCATGAATAGAATCTTACAGTATATAATTGCTTTGGATCTGGTTTCCTTCACTCAGCATGTTTTTGAGATGAACCCTTGTTAAGGAACCAGAAGTTCATTTATTTTATTTTTTCATTGTTGCATGGCCTTCCATTGGGTGGCTGGCTATACCTCAAGTTTTCTGTTGGCTTCTTGAATGGATATTTGAATTGTTTAGGAATGAACATGTTTCGGGCATTCATTTAGAATTTTTTGAGGGGAATATACATGTTTTAAAGTAAATAACTGAGTAGACCTGCATGTTTATCTTTAAAAGTGTTTTTTGTTTCCCAGTCGGCTTTGCTCTGTAACTTTACTGACACTTGCTACTTGACATTTGCAACACTGTCTCTTCTCGTGGCTAAGTCCTTTCTGTGCAGTTTCCACGACATTTCTCTCATGTCTATAACACAGGTTTTCTCATTTGTCTATTGAGAAAGCTTCCTTTTAAAGATGTTGTCCATTTTTTTTTTTGTTGTTGTTGTTGATTTCTTTATGGATTTTGCCTGATTAGTTGTGGAAGTGCTTTTCAGTCATCTTTTTTCCAGTCCTTTGTCAGATACAAGCTGAGCATTTTCTCCATCTTTTCAATGTCTTCCCTCTATCTTTTGGGAGTCAGTGTTTTCAGTTTTGATGAAGTTTCTGGCTTTTTCATACTTTTCTTTTCTTTTCTTTTCTTTTTACTTAAAGTTGTTTTGAGAAAACTTATTTTTTATCAGTAAATTAAAAAAAATACTGCTTTTGTTCAATGGATGGATAAGAGTTTCTGCTTCCTAAGATTTAAAAAATGATGTGTGTGTGTGTGTGTGTGTGTGTGTGTGTGTGTGCGCAAACATGTACGCATGCCACATGTGCAGAGGTCAGAGGACAGCTTGTAGGAGTCACTTCTCTTCTTTCACCACGTGGGCCCCAGGGATTGAACTCAGATTGTCAGCTTGGCAGCGAGTGCCCTTCCTCAGCTGAGTCATCTTACTGGCCCCTTGAGGTTCTTTTGAGGCTAGAACAAGAGGCCCATGGAGAATATCAAACACGCTTGAATAATTGCTTTTAGATATCAGAACATCTGGTGCTCCACCCTAACAGGATATTATTCAGGTACTACTTCCTGTCCTAACACTGTCCTGATGAGTGTAGAGGTGACGCAAGCAGTGAAGATGTTCGATGGGTGTTGTTTTATGGTGGACCATTAGCCCATGTAGGACTACTAAGAGCTGAAAGAAAGCTGTTTATTTTTTATTTTTTATTTTTTGTTGTTTTTTTTTTTAGAGGCAGAGTTTCTCTGTGTAGCCTTGGCTATGCTGGAATTGCTTTGTACACCAGGCTGGCCTACAGAGATCCACATGTAACTACCTCCTCCACCGCTAGGATTTTAGGTTGTGCCACCAAGCCAACTTGTTTGTTGGCTTAACTTATTCTTCTGTGAATAGCTTCTTGGCTTTCTTTTGGAAACCAAGGCAAATCGTGTAAGACCCTGATGAGGTCACTTCATTGAGTGCACTTAAATGTACATAACTGAGTTCCCTAAAACCCCTAAGCTCAACAGTTGTTGTTAGGGAGAAATGGGTTAGTACTAGCACAACAATGGGCAGAAATCAGCTGTTGTGTCTGTGACTGAATCACTGCCTTTGGTAGTGGTTTGCTTCCGTGTGCTAGTGTGTGTGTATTGGTGTGTGGTAGTGACGCAACCACCTTTTCCTCTTTGGGCCAGAGGGTAGCCCATTCTAGTTGTGATGCCAAGACCTCCAGTCTCCAGGCCTTCCTTTGTTTGCTACAGGCCGGCTGAGCGCGGGGCAGCCTGAGGGCGAGGGTAGTGATAATTTCTTACACTGTAGGTATTTTACAAGGGTTAAAAGTGTCCGTAAGGAGAAGACTTTATGACCCCCATGTCACTGTTGCTGCCGTTGCTGCCAATCATGGAGACCTGCTGCTCACTTCTCTGTGCCTTGAGCTTAGGAAATCAAACTCATTGCAGACAAAATAGAATAATGTCTACAGTTTGCATGCTTTGTTTGTATCCCTTCTCTTTTCTGGGATGCTCGAGAAGCAGCAGGATCTGGGCACAGGTCTGTGTGGTTTACTATCTAGGTCATGGGAATGTGTGCCTCCTAATAGGCAGGATCTTAAGGTGAAGCTACGTTTGAAACAGGGTCTTCAACATCTGTAAATCTTTTCTAAAACTGTGAGGCTCTGAGATATTTTAATTTTTTGAATTTAAAAAGTTAAACTAACTTCTTGCTATAATAAGTAGAAATAACCAATGTTATATATATTGAATATGATTTATAGCTTTTTAGCATCATTATGTACCCCTTAGGCCAAAAGGAAACCAAGGCACATAACAACTAAGTCACCTGCCCCCCCGGGTCACACAGCAAAGCTGTCTGCTGGCAGAGGTGGTGCTGTGAATGCCTCTCGGCCTTACTCCCTCCTCTCTACGAGCGGAACTGAATCCAGCAGGGACACAAGGGGGCAGCCAGCTGCAGAGGGTGCAGCTCTCCACCACCACAAGGACTCAAAGCTGGAAGAACAGGGTTGGGGAGAATACAGCTGGACAATGCAATAAACTGGACTAGATAAGACGTTCTGAGCTTAGGAGAAGCAGAGATTTTTTAAAGGCTTCAAGCCCTGTCTGGTGGGAAGAGTTCACAGTTTCAGAGGAGGTTTCTAGATGTTGAAGACAATGTACTGTCAGTGTGCCCCAAGACTCTAATTTTTGAAGCATGTATCTGGGTCACATCTGTCCTGTAAGTATGGCTTTTCTAAGATAGTGCATAGTGGTGAAAGCTAATTGAATTCAATAAGGAACCACAGTGGTCATCTCTGGTTTCTCAGAGACCAAGACATCATATCTGACAGTTATGCCATGTAGCCGAACCAGGTAATGCTGATATCCTCTCATTTCATAAAAGTATGTTCTCTTACACAGGTGTAGAAGGAAAAGTAACAAATGTAGCCAGAATTTGGATGATGAAATGATTCATGTT